TCTAGCAAACCTGCCGGACTACTTTCGGCTTGACCAAAACTGGACGAGAACTCTGCTCACAGTTTGTTGCCAGTGGTAAGTCAGTGTGATTGCATGACACTGGTGATGGGGATGCCATACAGATTCATGTCAAAAATACCGAACTATCCCTTTAAGGCTCTGTGTATTAGTTTCCATAACAGTTAATTATATGACCATTTACATATATATTTTAAAATCTTTTTGATAAATAGTCATAAAATGCTTAGATCAAATGCATTTTTTATTGTTTCTTGTATATTCAAAACCTTTATTTTAAACCCTGTGTACATGTGTATCTAACCCCTGTCTAGGATAGATGTATATTACAAAATATTCGAGTTTATGAGCCCAGATCAAACCAAAATAACTGAGAAACTCTAATATTATTTATTTGGGTCATTTTCTGCATTTCTTAACAGTACAAACTTAACAATTTGGACAGATTCATAAAGTCATGTACAAAAAGAACCAAAACTGCAAAGGTATTATTCAATGTCAAAGGGGTAAAATGACTGGCATCAGATATTGTAAAAATATTGTTATTCCAAAATATTTTGGATATTTGTGAAAGTGTAGCTCCTCCCTCTTTGTTTCTCAGTGTTTCCACTGAAAATCTTTCTAAATTCTTCCTAAAATTGTAGTTTTTATAAGTTGCAAAGGCTTTAGGCTTTCCATCTCTCCTTTTAGTTTCTGAACTTGCTGCCGCTCTACTTATTTGTAATGCATAACTTATCCTCAGCACAGGTGACATCCAACTGCTTTGCATTTTGCCATCGTTGGTTAAGCTTTGTTTTGTCCCGATTTATTTTCACGCTTATCCACTCTCCAGGTTCATACTGCAGATGGACCCAATTATATTATATATTTTTTGTTTCTCTTCAGTTCAGTGCTCACCTCTTTGCTTATTTCACATTCAACCTAATCCATTTGGCACCTCTTCTGACTGTAGATCTCAGGCTGTAATCCTGGGTTTTACTGCGGACCATTTTCCTTCTTTCCCTTCCTCTTCTCTCGCTCTCTCTCACCATCCATCGTGCTCTTCTTCAGTTATTCTAACTGTTCTCCTTGTTGTTCTCTTAGATGGAGTAAACCCAAAGGGACGACCCATCTGTATAAAACAAACTTTAGTATTCACAACATAACCAGTCAGCATTTATATTCTGGAGGGGGGTTAAAAGGCTCAGCAAGGCCTCACTGTAGGTCAAAGCATAATTGCCTTTTATTTAGGCTGCTGCTTGCCTGAAGAGGGAATCGTTTGCTGCCACAGGATAGGATTATAAGTTGAATGGTTTGTGTAGGAATGATTAAGATGCATTTGTGTTTTGGCAGCGCCAGATGAAGAGCCGCACACAGCGGGGGGGACTCAGCTGAATGGAGATGTTAATTGTGATGATCAAACGCACATGACACGCTTCGAGATGAACCTCAAAGACAAAAGGTTTGTAATGGGATTTGGGAGAACCCCATGGGATGTTCAAAGCAGTTGGCATGAAGACTCGCTGCTTTGATGTGCTTGAACTACATTTACAGTCATTGTTCATAAAGGCCACTCAGCTCAAGCTCTCGGTTAACTTAATTCCAGGTATCAGGATGACTTCAGGCCCCTGGTGGAAGGGTGTGGCTGCTACTGCTGCCGGAACCACCAGAGGGCGTACGTGCACCACTTGCTAATGACCAATGAGCTGCTGGCTGGAGTTCTGCTCATGATTCACAACACATGCCACTACCACAGCTTCTTCAGAGCAATCAGAGAAGCTTTGGCTAATGACAAAATGGACCTCCTCAGGAGGAGCGTGCTTTGGAATGGAAAGGAGTGAAAGGAATAAGTTGGAAAAAAGGAAGGGGAAAAGTCAGAAAATATTCCTCTTAACTGGCACAATGAAGTCAAAGGCAACTATTTTCCAGTCACGGGTTTCTGTAATGTTGCACAAACCTTCAGATGACTCACTTTGTATGTTTGCTAAACCCACATCTTTAAATAATAAAGAACAAAAGAGAGTTAATAAACAAAGAGTCCTCAGTTTTTGTATTTGGTTCACCTTAATTTCACGGTGGTTAATCAAGGATTTTATACTAATCATCAAGCAGTGATTAAAATAAAAAGAGAGTAAATATTTCTTGTTTTTTTAAAGGTACATATTTACAGGAACAGTTTGCAGTGTTTCAGCAGTTAATCGCTGTTAATATATTACATGCATTTGGTCCTATAGGCTGAAGCCAGAGCAGTCAAGACTGAAACCGCCCTCTGATGTCTTCAATAGCTTCAATCAAAAATTTCAAGGTGATGTGTGCAAACGGTATTTTATGAATGTTTAAACAGCAGTCGTGGCATTTGCACTGAATGGTTATTTAAACAGACGCATATGATTATTTACACAAGGCAGGAAGGTAGAAAAATTTGAGAAAAAACTTTTAAAGCTGACCGGAAACAAGACCTCTACAATAAAAACATGAGATTTATTTAGAAAGATTGATTAAATTGTGTTTACGTAAACTGGTTAGAGATCTGTACTTTTATAGGATTAAAAGTTTACTTTGATATAGTGCCATTCAGACTCAATCTCAGTCTCTGGAACTGATTGACTGGATTTAGAGAGTTGTATACTACATTTAAGGTAATTGCTTATGCCCAATAGAATAAAAGCTCTCTTTAGTTTTCTTATTGGTACATTGTTTAATATACCAATTGATATAATATTCCTACGAGTACGGTTTAGTTTAGTGAGCAGCTTTGTGGCTTATCAATGCAAACACGTTGCCTTCAAGCTATTCTACCTTGTTATATTTATTACTTCATTGGAAATACCAGCCTATTTGCTAAGAAGATCTATTAAGTTCTCATCTACTGTACCACACAAGAAACAGGAGAAAAAGAGACTACTGAACCTGCCACAAAATGAAAAAACAAAACCTCAACAAACTGAACTCTTGAGAGATATCCCGGACAGGCCCCCAAATTGTAATGTTACCTATGAGACTTGTTATATGGTGAGGAAAGACTCAACATTTTTTTAACTACTTAATCTTTCTTAAGCTGACGGGAGTTTTTTTCCAGCTGTATGAAACGTAGAGTATAGTGGTAGTACCTCTCCCTGATTTGCTGCTCAGTAGTGTCAGTCAACTTTCTGTGGCCAAGGAGCAGGCTGCACGCAGCCTGAAATGATAGCTATCCATGGATACATACATACTTAAAAACTGAAGTTTATTATATCAGGGACTTTAAGCAATCAGCTAGTTTTATTAGATAGAAAACTTTTGACTAACCTGTCTTTATGATTTGACTGAATTGTCGTCATGTTGTGAACTGGCATAAATGAAATAACTTAAATCATGTCACACTTGTTATATGAAAAGAGAAGTGTAATGTTCTCTTCAATAAGCTCTTCAATTTGAATTAAATTATCATATGGTAAAAAAAAATTGTTTAGATATGGCATCAATAATATTCTGCATTTTAGCAGTAATAGTGAAATCCATTTTTTTGTAATTTGAAGCAGGTCGATGTTTTAAGGGTAAGTTTAATAAAGATGTATATTTTTTCCTGAAGGATATGATGCCATCAGAAATTCGTGTATGAGTTTAGTGCCATCCCTTTCCTAATCCATACAGGTTCAGTTCGATGTCGTTTCACCCTTTACAGCTAGAAGTCTGGACCCTGCCATCCATGTCTTTATGGACCTTGTGCAGTAGTGCACAGAGTGGGATCATGGAATTGTACAAAATGGCTGTGTCCAAACTTCCACCCTAACAACTTTATAGAGCGCTATGTAGGGGCTCAACATTTTATACGAGTGTCCAATTGTCTAGTAGATGTAGAAGTAGTGTACTTAAAACTTCCCACAAAGTACCTTGAAAGTAGTGGACATTACAACACTAGACGTTAATGGTCACTAGTGTATGTGTACGTAGCCACTGGACAAGCAGATATATAATATATACCGTAAATTCTCTAATATTGGCCTGTATTCCAATAGCGGCCGGGTCTCTAATAATGG